ACTTTCACAGAATGCTGGAGCCTGGTCTACCCAATTTTAACAATACTGTGAAAGAGCAGCAAGCTCAGACCAGCCAGGATTCTTTCTGTGGATTCATAATTTGCTTTTGGTTTGTAAAATCTGAATTGCAAAGTATTGGAAAAAGTGTTTACTTTTCAAAACATCCAGCAAATTAAACAGGTCGGTCTACGTTGTGCATTGCTAGCTATTTGAACAAAAATCAGCAAGTGAAAATAATATATAACAGAACAAAGTGATAACTAAGCCAGATGACCTTTTTTTTTTTCAACTGCACTGTGCTATATGGCTATGTATACATGATTTAACTTCATTTGGTATTGCATGGGAATGTTCCACTTGTATCACAGTATGGTATCTTGCTAGTTCTATTTTCTAGTGATTCCTCTCTTTCTTAAGGTTTGTATAGTAACCTGCTTGTGTCCTACTAGCAATGCAAACGAAACTTCATTCAAATGAAAATACGGAAAGAACACTTGAAATGAGATTTTTTTCTGAGAGTCATGCTTTTCTTTTGATGAGTGCACTTGATAAAATGCGTTCCACCCACCCACAGCCCCCTGCCTTCTCTGTGTTTCACTGATAACGTGACCCACCACACTGAAACAGTATTATTTCCTGAAAGGCTGTAGGCAAGCGTGATGATGAGAAGACAAAAAGGGAAGTGAATGTTACACAGAATGGGAGAGAAAGGAATTGTGCATATGTATGAGGAAATCAGAAAAAAATGGTAAAAAAAAAAAAAAAAGGTGTGGTTAGAGTTGGATATAATAAGGGGGGAAATAAGTGCATATTCCTTTTAAAGTGTATGCATCATAAAATACAGAGGAATAATTCTACCCACATCGTTACTCAAAATTCCCACTGATTTCTGTGGGATATGAATGTGGAAAATGAGGATGGATTTCAATGACATTAGCATGAGTTTAATGTTAGTATAATGGAGTTCAAAACAATCCTTTTCAGAAGTTGTGTTTAAAAAAATATCTTTACTTAAAGGAAGGACAAATCAGAAATAAAAAGCAAGGGTATTTTATTTACATAGAACTTAACTGTTTTTAACATAATCCCAGAATTTTTTTTTACATGTATCTATATAAATACACACACACTCTTCATCAATTTGCACTTTCCACAAATATGTAAGAAAAGGGTATTTAAGAACTGTTCCTTGGTGATAACATTTGCAAGCAAAGCTAGTTACATTTGTAATCAAAGGAGCATTGAGGCCAAGAACAATATCCCCGCAGAGGAATATCAGTCCTTTTCAAACATATGACAATATTCTAATTGACTTCCACGGGAGTGGATTCCCTGCTATATGCCTTTTTTTTTTCAACATAACTTTGAAATCTTCTTCATTGCCAGTCACGTCACTTCTTTGAACACATGCCTCATTTTCACTCTGTAATTTTATCCCATGAAGCTCTTTATTATTCTGTATTCTCTTTACCGTGAGCAATATCCCACAATTCATTGACAAATTGAGCAAGCTATCGGCCTAATTGTGACAAGAGAAAGAAGACTGCTTATTGTTAACAGATATGGTAGGTGAATAATAAATCAAAGCAAGAACTTGGGCAACAGCATTCATGCATTTTAGCATGTTGGATGAATTTGGAAGTGTGGAAAATCAGAATGCTCTTGGGATATTCTGCTTTACCCCAAACCACTGCTTAATCACAGAGTTGAGTAATCTAGTATTGCCAAATGATAATTTAGTGTGCGGTTTTGCCTGTGAGACTACATACTAAACACCCATGCCAGACTTTTCACCCAGAATATGAATTTATGATTTGTATTGTAACACTCATTACTTTAGAAGTGATTAATTTTCGTCTAGAGTCTGGTCCGTACCCTAGGGAAATGTTTAGACCTGTACTTAACTCTTTTAGATTGATTAATGTACCTAAAGCTATTTATGTTTCTTCTGGATCAAAACAGATTTCTCAATCAGTACAAGTCTTTTCATTGCATATCGTTTAGTTCAGGACCATAGCAAATGTGGGGTGATTCACAGAGTTTTCAGGTGTGGTGATGAAACTTCTAAGCAACTGCAGAATAGCAACCAATCTGTAATCTGTGGCACTGACCTTCTACAAGTATAGCTGGTGAGAGGGAAAGACAGTTCGAAACTTGGGTGAACTAGCACTGGAAAAGACCCCAATCTGATTTAGAATATCTGAATAGCTATCATGTATCACATGAATTTCAGAGGCCTTATCTGATCTGTTATGGTAGGCTGTTGAAGCTTCTTCAGAATAAATCATCTAATTGCTTTGTGCTGTCTGACATACCGGTTTGCACCAACTGGTACTAATAACTGGAGAGTGCTAACTGCAAGTCTTGGGTGGCAGATACAGACTTTAAAAGAGAAATTCCAAGGTAAATGATTTGATAGTTTTGTTAGAAAATCATTGTGACACTGTTATTACTGAGAACATTAAAAATCATTTTTGTCTGTTGCATCATATTTTATTTAATGCATTGCCATTCTTTTGCACTCCATTGAAATGGTTCTTGCTAAAGAGTGTAGTTAACTCTTCTTAAATCTCAAAACCATCCTCTTTGATGCATTAGCTGCCATCAGTCATATTCTTCTTTCTAGAATCTCATTTTCTTCTTGGTTTCCATGGCCTTATTATTTCCCAGATCTCTTCTCAGCTTTCTGATCATCACTTCAGTAAGTGCTTTAGAGGGATCTTTCTTGGTACACCTCCACATCATCTCTTCCCTTTTTATTTGCAAATACAGCTTCGACTGCTGTCTCTGTACATGCAGCTCACAAACCTGCTTCATTAATCCAGACCTTCTCTTTCCCATCACACCAAGGTCTCTGCCTCTCAGATGATCCCTTTTGAATGATGCTGGCTATGTCTCTACCAACAGATAGTACGGAGTGGAGAAACAGGGGCAGATTAGGAAAGCAAAAGAGGTGGTGCTGAGGACCTCACGCCGACATTGTGTGCATTGTGCAGAGAGGTTATTTTGAACTAGCTGTGATCTAGTTACATGGACTGGATGCCCACTAGCAGTTGAAGCACTGCTTGGAGCAAAAGCAGAGGTGCAGTCTCTGAACACGGGGTTAGGGTTAGTTCCAGCTGAAAGTTCATGAGCTCCAAGACTGCTCTGCAATGCAAACTACAGCCCAGTAAGCGGAAACATCCTTCTGAAAGAAACGGTGTGTGCTCTTTCTGCCATGCTTCCTTAGAGCTGTCTTCTGGCAGATGCCTAAAAAAAAGCTTGAGAATTATTTGGGTGTTAATCTACTATGGCACAACCTACGATGCTGACCAGTTGCCTGCCTCTTATTTAAATTGTGAATTTTTTGAGGTGTCATCTTCTCTTTTCCTAACACTGATGCAGCTGGATAATAATTATTTTCTTATAAATGCAAATATAGGATTATGATTTTATTCCTGTTGCAGCTCATCTACTGTCATCTCTTTTCTATTTCCAGAAAACTTCTCATGTCTTTGTTGTATAAGACATCTGGTCAGTATAGCTCAGCTACAAGCCAAGGATTGTAAGAACTGTTGCAATTAGCATAATCTCCCAGTCACAAACTGTACAATCTTTGTCATCGGAAAGGAGAATTATATAAGGTTGCTTCTAGCCATTGTAGTCATTTTGGAGTTGTGCGGTTGGGGGGAGGGTGTTTATTTCTTTTTTTGTGTAGTTAAAGCACGGAATTAAAATGCCATAAATATTGTTTTATCATTTAGTACTATGCATTCGTTTCATCACTAGGATACAGACCTATATTTAGTAGAGCAGTGTAACTGGCCAGTAGTGGCTCTGGTAGCTATGCAAAAGATGCTAGAAGATGTGAGAATGACCACAGAGTCAAAACAACAGCATTGCCAGGTTCAACTATACCAGCAAATTTACAGGAAAAGCTGCAAGGTAGCATTAAATGACACAGGAGGAGAAAACCCTCTATTTAAGCTCTATCATCCTGAAGACTGACCAGGATATGTATCGCTCAGTTCACTCCTGCGTATAAGTCAGTGTGTCCCTTGCTTGACTAGCCTAACCTCCATGAGACTGGCCACTATTTCTGATGCCCCTGTGTCCCCAGCCATAAAGGATTGTTGGGCATTTCATGGGTTGGGTGGGTCTTTTTCTATATATCTTAGTAATAACTGTGTAAATTAGGAACCAGTGTTAAAGAGGAAAAATATTATGAGAGTGAGGGTATGGGCACTGTTCAACTGGACCAGATTCCCGCTCACCACTCAATATGGCTAGTCACTTAAGCTCTCTGGAGTGCTCTTCAGAGACACTTCTGTCTTTCCCTTGACAATATACAGATGCTTAAGGAGAATTCAGGCCACCGAAAATATTATTCCCTGTATTTCTGTGGGTCATATGGGTTTTGTGTGGCAGATCAGGTCTTTGGAGACCTAGACAAGAGCCTTATACATTTAGTCTTCTCTAGCAGACTTCCTGTTCTTCCCTAACAGACTTCTACTTGCCTTTAGAAGACTTTCTTTATCAGTGGTTGGTATTTAGATTTAGATTTATGAGAAGAAAAGATAAAACATTTTTCTTAGGTGTTGTCATCCTGAGGGTGCTTTCATAAGGACTCAACTTCATTCTTTCAGACTTTCTGAAAGTAGGCCCCATACTGTTCCTGTGCTACTTTTTCTTATGCAGAAAGTAAGAAATATTTTAGGTCTGCTAATATGGTTTAGCTGCTTTGAACTGGTAGCTTTGTTCCAAAGAATGTTTACAACTAAGTCTGTAGCTCGTTGTGTGCGTCTGTTGTATGTGTACATGCACAGTTTGTCCATACTTTGGGATTTGGATCCCTGAGCAGCAGTGTTGTTGCCTGTCTGAGGCTGGTATAAAGCAAGATTAATACAGTATGTGTTGCTAAAGCTGATTTTAAATTTAAAATTACCATCAGTTTGCCCCTTTTAGTCACTTACTAGTCACTCTTTATACTGATCTGTATTCCTTTTTTTTCCCCCACTCAGATGTTGCAAGAGCAATTGAGTTACTGGAGAAACTGCAAGAATCTGGAGAAGTACCAGTACACAAGCTACAGTCCCTAAAGAAGGTGCTGCAGAGTGAGTTTTGTACAGCTATCAGAGAGGTATGAAATTGAGCTTTTTAGTTATTTCTCAGAATAACATCCTTCTCCTGAAAAGAAAAGTATATTTGCCTTTCAGTGCTGGAGAAGCAGGAGTAGCTTGTAGAAAGGATGATGGATGTGAGATGTGTCTGTAGCTGCCTGCTACCTTGCAGAATGCTGAAGTTACTGAAAAGCAGACGCAGAACAGTTGCGTCAGCAAGGCATCAAGCCTAAGGCAATTAGCCTTGCTAAGGAGAAAGGGTGATTAATTAGTACTTTAGTATTCTGCTCATGCTGTTTCAGGGTCTGTGCTAACCTGTACAGCACTGTGCTGGGATATGGGGACATGCCAAGTTGGGTCAGTGCAAGCTTAAATGCCTCTCCTTTGAGCTCAGGTGTGTGATTAGGGATGTGCTGACAATATCAGATTGCAGTGAGAGACAAACGGTGCAAGCACTGAAGTTAACTGAAGCAGACAGGAATCTTGCTGTTGAAGTCAGTGGTCGGGTCCCAGTGGGTCTTGCTCCACGTGTCAGAAATCCTTGTCAGATTGCTAAGAACTATGATCATTACCCTGCCAGCTGTGGTCAGGGCCTTCCTAAGCTCTGCCCAAAGGTAGATAAATGATGATTGTTTTCTTCTAGTCAAGCTAGAGAAGCAGCACCCCCCTTCCTACATGCATACAGGCAGTATCTTTAAAGCAGTTAAATTACAAATACTTCTGTTAGAAGTTTCTTAGACAGAAACCATGAATTAATACAACATTATGTCAGACTTCTTACCGGCTAAATTGAGTGCTGTTAGCCTGCCAGACAGAAGCAGCTCTAAAGGCCCTAATGAAGGGAACATCTTCTCAGCAGAAAATCTGTAAGAACTTCTGTTTCAGTTTATCTATCTACTGCCTGGAACTAATCCTACCTCACTGAAATCAATGGGGAATCTAATGTTCCCTCGATGGTAGCAGGATTGAACTCCTGATAACTAGGCAACAGCAGCGCATTGATTGAGTGGACTGCTGGGTGGCTGGAAGGAAGAAAGAGGGGAACAGACATTAGTTTAATAAGCAAAATGCAACACACTCTTTGTTTTATGGAATATATTCTTCAATGTGAGAAACAGAGAGAGGCTTCCACTTAATTAAATGGCAGTTTTCAATGCTTTTTAAAGGGAATAGTGTTCCATGACAATAAATAATGCCACTATGTACCCTCAAAAGCTGATTCTGACTAGTCCTTTCATTTAACCAACTAAATACTTCTTTAATTGACCACAGAGCATTGAAAAGTTGTGGGGGGTTTGGTTTTTTTGTTTTTTTTTCCAGATAGCAGAGCCTGGTACTCCAATTGTTCAAGGCAATTTTCAATCTTTGCAGGATCATCAGTGAAATCTTACCAAATTTATATTCATCTCTGGAAAATAGTCTTAGCAGAAGCAAACACAAAGCTTGTTGAAACAGGTACAGACCCTAGGAGGGAGGAAAATGGCTTAGACAAATGCACTCCCAGTTCAGTGAACTGAAAGCAGATTGTGACAAAATCATCTCAGTGACACAAAAGGTCTTTATAGAGTGTTGTGTAAAGACAACCTGCACATGACAGACTATCTAATTATTGTTTGATTCTTACAATCAAATAACAGTTGCTTTAAGAAGCCTGGAACTAGTTGTTACACAAGAATGATGATGAATGAGCAGTTGCCTCAGTTCTACCAGCTTCTTAAACACAAACATTTATTTATTTTTACATATTTAATATATAATATATATAACCGATCTATCTAATATGTCACGATCAGAGAACAAAATTTCTATATGCAAAAAAATTATTAATGCTATTCACCACTATGTATGTAAATCTTTTCTTAGAAGAAATCTTCAATTATAAAAGGCTTGGTAACAAATCTTTTCATTTAGGGAGAATGGGAGAATTGACATATATATATTGCTAGTACTTAAGGTTGTTCAACATGTGGCTCCTCTTTTCAGTTACTTACATTAAGCTCTTGGCAAATGTTTTGACTGTAACTCTTTTTTTCCACCAATTGAAGAGCTGTTGGAAAATTGCAGAAAATAATTTCTTCCGTTTTTAAAAAAACTAATAAGAAAAGCATGGAATATTTTGGGCATGTTACATTGTTAGGCATCTCCAAGCACTGTAGCAAGGGCTTGGAGGATATGTGAGCTGGGTCTTGCCGTTAATCAGGGATGCCCATAATCCCCCCATAATATCCCATAGAAATAAAATCTTTTTAAAGTGACTGAGTGAATGAAATTTAAATAGAAGTACTTTGGCATTTTTCTAGGATGCTATGTCAGGAAATGGTGATTAATGGTTCTCACTTAGCTAAATATAAGTACCACCAACAGAAATATTCTGTCTGGCACTTGGCAAGAATATGTATTAGCTCTGAAAATAATAGAAGTAATTGAAGTATGTAATGGCCTCAGTATTTCCTTTTCACCTGAAGACCCCTAGACCAGACAACAAGTTAACCACAGTCTGGTCACATTAAAATTGAGTTTTTAAAAAAAATATAATTGTGTTTTAAAATGACTTGTTTCAAAAGCTTCCTGGCTACATGAAGATTAATTAGCCTTCTGTAGCCTTGTCACCTGGCAAAAGATGCATGAGTCTTGCCTATTATACCATTAAGTCCTTTACCCTTCCATGTGTTTTTGCTGTTTATTCAAAGCTGTTGCTATGTTATAGTCTTCTGATTCCTGAGGAGTTACTGGAATAGATGAAGGGCAAGGCTGAGAAAGTGAATGCGTAATTGAACTACTGAGAAGGTGTATTCACGTGGAACATAAAACTAGGCAACCTGAATTGATAAAGTAACTTTAATTGTTGTAAGTCAGTAAAAAGGAAGTTAGGAGAACTGTAAGATAAGGTGAACTTCTGGTCTGGCAAGAAACCTTAAAGAGCTGTAGGTACAGAAGATAGATAGAATAAACAGTTGAGCAAAACACACTAAATCATCAACAAGAAAATGTGGCATACCTTAGCAGACTATGGGAATTCCATTTACTGTTAACACCTGGTAATTGGTACTGAAATGCCAGGAGAGTAATGATAAACCCATGCATCTCCTGATGAGTGGAAGTTTTCTTTCCGGTTGATTCTCAAGTTTCTATTTCTGTATGTTAAATATGTAAAATTCAGGTGTATCTTGCTTTCCTCCCAGCCTTCCTTCACTACTCCATTTTTCATTTCAAGATTAAATCTAATGTTTTTCTGTGTGGATATTATTTAAAAGAAAATATGACTGGTAAATACCAATGGTGAAACATTTATCAATACCAAAAGTAATCAAATCAGAAAGTCTTTATAAAAATGTGGTGTGGCAACCAGACACACAAAAATAACCATTATTTCATTCTGTTATCTTATGACTCCCACCAAAATATCAGGTCATCACAGAAGAGCACTTTTGCAGGACTAGGTCACTGGCAATCGTTTCTTAAAATGAGGAGCAGTCAACACGAAGTACTCTACTGTTGTGTGTTTTGTATGAAATCATAGAATCGTAGAATCATAGAATCGTCAAGGTTGGAAAAGACCCTTAAGATCATCGAATCCAACCGTTAACCTATCACTGCCAAGTCCATCTATACCATGTCCTCGAGCACCGTATCTATCCGTTCTTTAAATACCTCTAGGGATGGAGACTCAACCACTTCCCTGGGCAGCCTGTTCCAATGCTTGACCAACCCTTTGGTGAAGAAATTTTTCCTAATATCTAACCTAAACCTCCCCTGGCGCAGCTTGAGGCTGTTTCCTCTCGTCCTATCACTTGTTACTAGGGAGAAGAGACTGACCCCCACCTCGCTACAACCTCCTTTCAGGTAGTTGTAGAGAGCCATAAGGTCTCCCCTCAG